TGCTCATCAATACTGGCATCAAGCTACCTGTAGATCTAAAAATACAACAATTATACAATATTGCCCTAATTGAATACATCAAACTAACTAACTCATTTAGTTCAGAGCTTTACAGATTCATTCATAACACGCATGAAGGTTGTGATTGGAAATCAGAAGAGTTATTCAACCAAATATTGATGCCTCAACTCTTCCTAAGTTAAAACATTGGGATTGTGTTGTTGGAAAATTGATTTAAACATATTTTTTCTTCTTTGTTATTTAGACTGATTGTCATTTTCTGCACATAAATGACCTAATTGTACAAAAATGTGTTTAGATTTGGGATAAATGTTGTCAGAAGAATAAAATGAAAAAAATGAAAATGTCAATAAACCACATATACCTGTAAACAGTTAAAACAGAGAAACTGATCATTTTAGAGAGGTGTCTTATTTTTTTCCAGAGCTGCGAAATAGGATATTGTCCCTTATTTCTTGCAGCGTACTCGCTCTATGAAGGTATCACTTCATAGTCAGCCAACAAAACTCTTTCAACGTAGGAAACGGAAAAATCTCATCAAAGGAATATAAATGACTATTGAAGGAGAGTCTCATCTATTGATGCCAACTTCAGATACTTGATGTTACGGACACATTTTGTTCGGTACAAAACATTATGATATCCACCTGTTCACATATATAACATAACTGATTTTTTGGGCCACTTGGGGGTAGCAGAAAGGAGTTTAACACAACACTGATATATCATCACCTTTGTATCCATCTGATAAATGTAGGTCCAATATTCTATCCTTTTTTTGCTTTGTCTTTGGTCTCCAACAACTCCTGAGGGTAGTAAATATCTCGTTAGCTTCTAAATGCTTGACTCTCATCACCAACCCGTCTTCAACTGTGTCATGTTGCTCTGTGCTACGATGCAGGTAGTGTACCGTGGATTTTTGCAGTCAACCAGTCCTGCTACTAGGATTGTGGCCTGTAGAAACTGTGTAATATTATCATATGCACAATTATAGTGGGATATTAGTTTGCATGTTCACTAAGCCCCTGTTTCCTTATAAAACAGCCTTAAGCAGTAGTATTTTGCTCACCAGACCTTTACATGTGACAAGCTGTCAAAAACACCACTTTACATACAATCAGACTGGCAGCTGCTGTTGCCATGGGGACGATGTGTGCCTCTGATTGTCTGAGTAGTGCACTTTGCCTGAGCGCACAAGCAAGGCCGACGGCTGATTTGGGGGTATTCATGTGAGCCGTTACGCAGCAATTACCTCCATCAGGACTGGGGTCCTTGTTGTTGTGAGACTTCTCCGTGAAACCTGGAATTGCTTCTGCCCATTCATCATGAGACAATACAGCCTTTTATTCCTCATCAGAGGAGAGTATTGTTCCTCCGAATGGGAAATCTGCGTGGCCTCTCCGGTTTACTCCGGATGAGATAGAAACTGGAGAAAAGGCCAGTCCGACCTCTGAGGGGGGCGTTCATTGACGCGTAACAGACACGAGAATTTAGACATTGACTCTTCTGTCATGCTTTTTGTTTTTTATTCTCTCTCTTCAGCTGAATAATAATAATAATGTTATTAATTATTTGAGCTATTAGGTCTGAACAGGGTTATCCGTGTGTTAAAAATATATGCAGGAAGCGGCTCTACCTCTGCCTGAACAGAGAAAATGAGATGTAAATTATTAGCAAATTTGGCATCTTGCATGTTAAAGTCTGTGATGTATATTATAGGTCTAGAGTTTAATCCCAGGGTGAACTTTAGGATTTTTTTGAGTCAAAGTAAATACCACCTAATTTAAGATTTCTTGCTCTTTGTCTGTGGATCAATATTTTTCTATGTGACAGCTGAAATTGATAATGAACCCATAAAACACACAGATTTCGAGACTTGGCACTGCAATGATGTGGTTTCTTAACTAAAGCTACGATTACATTTGTTTTCCACCCAAAGTCATGGTGTTTCTTATTTGCAAAGCCTTTTAGGGAATATATTTTTAAATTATTGAAGGAATCATTGACAAAGAAAAAACACATCTCTCCTGGTTTATTTTCTTGTAAATATGTGACTCTAATTTCTCAGTTATTTCTCTTAAATGTGAAACTTCATAATATCAGAAAAGAGTTCAAGCACCAACTAACAGAACCACTAGAGTGAAAACCTTCAGAGGGTTCCTTTAAGCATCAATTACAGTATATTTTATATTTGAAATATTACTACTGATGCAAAACTGTGTAATTGAAGACACTTTGGTTTTAAGAGATGTTTTGGTTTTAAGAGATGTTTAACCTGCAGGTTCACTGTGTTCTGATTGTATAGACCAGTTCATAATGAAAACTGTTATAGCTGAGAAAAAACAAAAACCGGTGAAAGCCAAAAGCCCCACAGGAGCCCTGATGTTCTGCAGCATCCCACTACTCTTGAGTTTGAAGCCAGGTACTTGCACAACAAAATCTAAAAAAAAACAAAAAACATTTCCTCTAGCAGCCACTGTCTCATTTCCATTTCACTGTTTGCTTTTCGGATGAAAGATGTGCATCTGGTGTGACCTCACAGATTACAATTCTTCCTCTTCTTCTATCCATCACGAGATTCATCATGGTGGAAACGGTCCAGTTAAAGGAGCAGCGGGTTCACCAAATTTGCATCCTTTAATACTGTCCAACAATCACTTTTAATCCAACTATTTCTATATTTGTAGACAGGATATTGATAAAATGACCACTACCTTCTCCTCGTAATGCCACAGCTGCACTTGTGATTTGATATTGTATTTCTACTGTTAAATCAGAGCCAGCCGCAACACCACCTCCCTGAAATACAGCTTCCTCCGATGAATCCAGTAAGTTTCATAGCCCAAGGACATGAAATGAAATGTAATCCATGTCCAAATATAGTGATACTCTCTTTCTCTCACCATACAGCCTCATGACATTTTCCACTGCTCTGTTTTTGTTTAATTTATTCTGTGTTTGTTGCCCTAATTTACATTTCCTGTTCTATTAATGGCACAGAAACTTTGTGAATCGCATATATCTATACAAATATATCTGGAAAAAAAATGTAGTACACTGTTCAGGTTTGGAAAGCACATTTACCTGCATGGTATACACAACAGGTAACCACTTCGTTGCAGGTATGAGATACTAATTATAGATTTAAATGTAAAACACAGCTTCTTCTACACCAGACTTATGCAATCCCACACACACAAGTATAACAACTCACAAGGTGAAGCAGGTTAAATACATTTCCTACACATCAAAGGTGCATTCATAATTATCAAACTCATTGGTCATTTTAGTTTAATACAAATGAATAAAAGCATTGTGTTTTAGTGTTTGCAAATATTTTTGAATTAAAGCTCCGTACCTGTGTGCAGGCTGATCCAGTGTCTCAGAGCAGGAAGGTCTCCGTCCTCCGCTGCTTCATCACACTGATGATGATACTGATGATGATGATGATGATGATGATGATGATGATGATGATGATGATGATGATGATGATGATGATGATGATGATGATGATGATGATGATGATGATGATGATGATGATGATGATGATGATGATGATGATGATGATGATGTGGGCGACAGGTGGCGGGGCTCCCGGTTAAGTTGCCTTTAGTGTCGAAGTGTTCTGAGTGAGTGTGCGCAGTGGAGCTGCAACGGTGCTGCGTTCAAGGACTGTTTTGAAATGTTGGGATTTAAGCTTTATTATCAGTGGTGGAAGAAATGCTCAGATATTTTACTACAGTAAAAAAATTAACTAACAGTAATTTGGCAGAATGGTCAATTTCCAAATCATTTATATTATATAATTGGACTATGATAATTATGCTTTGACATATTTATTTTAGAGCTATATAATCATATACATTAATCATTGTATTTTAAACATGGACTTCTAATTTGCATTAGTTTAATATAAACATATAGCATACGTTAATATTATATTACATATTTCATTATTATAATATTTATTTTTATATTTATTTTACTGTAATTAATCCTAACTAGAAGAAGTAAGCCCGGATAAAGCTATCAAATACATGTAGTGAAGTGAAGTAGAAGTTTTAGGTAGCATAATAAATATAAATACCCAAGTTAAGTTCTGAATCTTTAATTGGTGAGCGATAAGCTTATTTTATTCATTCATCTCGTTGCTTGATGAAAGCCATTTCTGACAAGCCTTCAGAAAAGTTGTTGCAGCGTCAACTTTATTTCCCCGAGGAAGAGGATTAATTCAAGTCACAGTTATCGTTGAAGTTTAAGATTTACGAGGAGCATTTAAGGCAGCACGTTATCAGAGTTTGAACTGGTTTAGAGGTTTTGACCGAGCACAGCTGCCCGTTGATTTTGAAATGTCTAACGTTGTTAGCAGCAGTTAGCTGAACTTGTCAGGTAATTTTACACATTGTATACGCTAAAACCTGAACTCACAGAGAGACCTAATAACCTCTCTTTTTTCTAAGAGCCTGTTTATTGATATAACATATAGGTAAGTTAATAAAACGTGCTGTCATATTAGATATCAAACGGCAACAAAGCAAATGTTAGCATTGATATGCTCTTTGTGCCAGCGTTAACGTCAATAAAACAAGCTAAGATGGAGCTAATTCCCGTTTTAGTTTATCCCAAGAAAAGAGTGCTAGTGATGGTATAGCTGTGAGGTGTGTCTCCCTCTAGTGAGCGAATATATGTGTATAATACTTCATATGAATATGCCTGTAGTTGTGACGAAACGTTGAGTAAAATCGTCATAATATTACATTATAACCTCCCCAAGACAAAATCATGTTACTTACAGCATTTGAGTAGATCCTTAGTTACCTTCCACAATTACTGTTCAAAAGTATATGTTAATTTTACATTTCGTTGGTGGTGTTCAGTATAAATAAAATGTGACCTATTTTAGTAGATCACACGAAACAGAATAAACAGGAATATAACTAACAAGCGTCAGCCATCAGGTGTATATATATAATAATATTTATTTATTGTGTATAACTTTGCAAACATGTTACATCAGAATTCATGGATTCATTAAAAGCTATTTACACTGCTAGTTTAAGATTCCCACGTTGTACAGTGATATTGAAAGATACCAAACTCTGGATATATTTGTACTGTAGCAAATTAGGTTGTAAGCAAAATATTAATACAAAATATAGTTTGTAGCAGTACACTTGGTGTTTTTGATCATAAGCGTTTCATTTAAGCTTTGCAATGCTGTTGTCTCTTTACGTTTTAGCCACAGCAACAAGAATATCCTGCAGATAAATGTACATCATTTTTTTGTCATATTGCCTACTGCCCTATAATATTGTAGGTGTTTTTAACTGTCAACATTACAGAGAAATTATTGTAAACATTTTGGAATGTCAGTAACATCAATTTTGTTCAGATAAACAGTTTTTAAATCAAATGCATCGTTGATTATCATCCGATAAGAAGCGCACAAGTACTTTGAAACAGTTGTTGTACATTTAAAACTATGAAACCACAAATATATTATACGTTTTGAGAAGCAAAACACATGGCTTACTTTAGTTTTGTACCACAATAAGCAAGGATATTTGGTGAAGTCCTTTCATAAATTGAAGTAAAAGCACTGAATTATAGAGCTTATTAACAACTAAATCTCATTGTCAGTACATTTAATTAATCCATCTCTTTATAGGTCAACAACATGCTACCAGAGATTGAAGTTAACACCTGAACACTGATCATTTCCTATGATTGGTAAGTTACATTTGCCAACAGTCTTTTGCAGTTGCCAAACCTGTTTTCTATCTCGCTTTCTGTCACAGTGATATTCAAAAGCCCCCCAGCCACTGAGGCGGGATAATAAGGGTTTGTATCTTCTGACATAATTTACATAAAGTAATTTCACTCATCGGCTCCATCAAAGAACCTCATTTTATCGGAGTGCATAGAGTCTTTCAGTCGTTGAATGGATGAAGCTGTCTCAGAAGAGTCAAACGTACGTGTGATTTGTTGAGTTATAACAATTGTTTCTTTGCTTTCACTTGATGTTTCCTTAACTAAATGCCTCTCGTATACCGTTCTCTTTCCGCTTTCCGGGTCTTCGACAGTCCAGGATGCAGCTTTGTAAGCCTCTGGTTCTAGGGGAAGGCCTCCTGCTGATTGGATTTGGAAATCAGTTAGCAGTTTGGCATACTGTGATTCTGGTGTCGCTTGTATATTTGATGTGAAGACATGTAATTTTCCTGAATCCAGTCTGAGCGTGTCTTCCGATGAAGAAGAAGCTCCAGACGACAAAATGGTGATTTTCTCAGGCAATTTCGGCTCAACCGAGATAATCTCAGTCCTTGTGGTAGAAGTAATAATGTTACTATGCATCTCACCAAGACCTGAAGCAACGTTGGGATCAGAGAATTTGACTGTGACCACCTTTGTTGGAGATGATAAGGACAGGCCAAGATGCTCACTAGTCATTGCAGAGCTAATATCAGCAAAGGCGTCTGATGACTGGACTGAAGACGTGGGACTTATTTCCTCATCCGATGTTTCCCCTACTGGGCTCTTTTCATCCTTCTGCTCCTCTTTTTCAACGGTCTTGGCAGGCTCTGATGGGGAAGACAGTCCAAACCTGGGGAATTTAAGCCAACTTGTCCTCTCAGGACTTTTAGTAGTATCTTGCTTTGTTTCTTTTTCCTTTGCCTCTGGCTGCTTTCCATTTGGTTCCACTGTTTCTTGAACTTCTTTTAAAGTTTCAAGTTGTTCTTCAGGTTTTGCAGCATCAATTTCAACATCAAAATTCTTGATGATCTCACCAAATGATGTCAAAGTCACTTTTTGTGATTTACTCTCTCCTTTTGGATCAACTTCAATTTTCAGCTGATCTTCTTTGGATTCAGTGTCAACTGGAACATCACCTTCAGCGTTGGGTATTGAAAAGCTCAGCTTTGGCAGTTTAAATGATGGTAATTTAAATTTACTTGGAGATCCAAGATCCACGCTGCCAGTCTCATCCGTTTTAATATCAACACTTGGACCTTTGATGATGAGAGTAATGTCCTCCTTATGTTTAGCCCCATCCGTTTCATCTACTTTGTCTGAATCCGGTGCTTTTACAGTGACATCATGGGTAGCAACTTCGAATTTCGGCATTTTCAATGTTGGCATTTTCAATTTTAATGACAATCCTCCAACACCTTTTGACTGAGCTTCAATCTCAGAATCTTTCATTTCCACACTGGCTGAATATTCTTTGGCTTCAATATCTGGAAGTGTGACTTTGGCTTTTACATCCGCCACAGTGATATCTACGTTTTTCTGTGATGCATTGATATCTTCGGATCCTTTTACCTTTGGTAGAGCAATGCCAAACTTTGGTAATTGAAATGTGCTTCCTTGTCCATCATGTTCAGCTTCAAGCTCAGGAGCTTTTATTTTCATTTCAGGTTGCTTGACTATCACTTCTCCTTCCGAAAGAGAAACATCAACATGTGGTAGCTCAGCACTTACCGCGGGTTCTTTAACACTTGACCTCGAAAAAGAAAATCTGGGTAGGGAAAACTGTCTTTTTTTCAAGTTTGGATCAAGTTCTGCAGCAGGAGGCTCTTCTATTGAAACGGCCCCTGATAGTCCTCCTTGGACTTCTGCTTCTGCCTTTGGTAATGTGACATCCACTTTGGGTGTTTCAGGTTCATCGTCAGAGGCTTTACCAGCTGACCTTGAAAATGAAAATCTTGGAAATGCCCATGTTGCTTGTTTTTTGGTATCAATGTCAACTGTCGGTGCATCTGGCACTGAAATGACACCTTCAGTTTCTTTGGCTTCAGCTTTAGTTTCAGGTAAAATTACATCTACATCTTTCTTTGATAAACTTATATCAATGTCAGGCTGCTTGACTTGAGGCCCAGAAAAACCGAAACTTGGTAGTTTAAACTTGCTTCCCTCTCCTTCATGTTCAGTTCCTGTAGTTTTAATATTGATTGATGGGCCTTCAGTGTCAATACTTGGTGCTGTGATGTGAACTGAAAGCACCTCTTCGGGAATGTTAATGTCTGTATTGGGCCCTTCTACTGTGGCACTTGGAGTACTAACTCCGAATTTCGGTAATTTGAATGTGGGCATCTTATATTTAGATGGTGATCCTTCAACATTACTTGTCTGGACATCAATTTTAGGAGCTTTAATTTCCACTTTAGCAGAAGATTCCTTGAGTTCAACATGAGGGAGTTTGACTCCAGCTTTGGCTTCTGGTAAAGTAACATCTCCATCAACCTTTGATAAGCTTAAATCAATGTCAAGACATTTGTTTTGAGGCCCAGAAAAGCTGAGACTTGGTAGTTTAAACTTGCTTTCTTTTCCTTCATGTTTAGTTCCTGTGGTCTTAATATCTATTGATGGGCCTTCATTGTCAAGGCTGGCTTTTGCAATGTGAACTGCAAGATCCTCTTCAGGAATGTCAGCTCCATCAAGTTTGAAGTCAGTCTCAGGCACTTTCACGGTAGCACTTGGAGTACCAACTCCAAACTTTGGTAACTTGAATGTTGGCATTTTATATTTTGATGGTGATCCTTCTGTACCCTGTGTTGCAATCTTGATCTCAGGACCTTTCATTTCCACTTCAGTGGAAGGATCTTTCAGTCGGGCTTCAGGAAGTTTGACTTTAGCCTTGGCTCCTGGTAGAGTCACATTTACGTCTTTTTTTGATGAGCTTAAATCAATGCCAGGCCGTTTGGTTTGAGGCCCAGAAAAGCCAAGACTTGGCAGTTTAAACTTGCTGCCTTTTACTTCATGTTCTATTGATTGGCCTTCAGTGTCAAGGCTGGGTGATGTGATGTGAACTGCAAGAACCTTTTCAGGAATTGTTATATCAGTTCCATCAATTCTGATGACTTTGTCTGTATCGGGCACTTCAACCGAGGCACTTGGAATACCGACTCCAAATGTTGGTAAATTGAATGTAGGCATCTTAAATTTTGATGGTGATCCTTCAGTATTCATTGTTGCAGCTTGTATTTCAACTTCAGGTCCTTTGACTTCAACATTGGGCAGGTTAATTTCAGCTTTAGTTTCAGGTAATGTCACTTCGAAATCTTTCTTTGATACACTTGAATCAAATTCAGGTCCTTTTACTTTGGGCATTGAGATGCCAAACTTTGGCATTTTAAACTTGCTTTCCTGCCCCTGTAATTCTACATCACCTTTTTGTGGCTTCACTTCAACAGCAGGGTGTTTACCTTCCACATTCCCTTCTGGAAGAGAAACATCAACGTTTGGGACACTGACATCAACTTTAGACTCTTTAGAACCTTGCTTTGAAAATGAAAATCTGGGTAATGAGAACCTTGTCTTCTTCATTTTGGCATCTATATCTGTGGAATGTGCCCCCTCCATTGAAATACCTGAGGTTTCTTTGATATCAATATCTGGGATATGTACGTCTGTTTTGACCTCTGGTAGTGTAACGTCAGCCTTTGGGGCATCAGCGTTAACATCAGCCTCAGGTGCCTTAACGCTTGCCGTTGAAAAGGAAAATCTTGGCATTGTCCAACTTGACTTTTTCAACTTGGCATCACCCTCTATTGTTTCAACATCAGGACGTTTGACTTCAGCTTTTGATTCTTCTTTTATTTCAACTTGGGGGAGGTTGACTTCAGTTTTGGCTTCTGGTAGAGTCACATCTACGGCCTTCTTTGATAAGCTTATATCAATGTCCGGCCGTTTAATTTGAGGTCCAGAAAAACCAAGGCTTGGCATTTTAAACTTGTTTCCTTTTCCTTCAGGTTCAGTTCCTTTTGTTTTAATATCTATTGATGGGCCTTCAGTTTCAATGTTGGGTGCTGCAATGTGAACTGAAAGAACCTCTTCAGGAATTGTAACGTCTGCTCCATTGATTTTGATGTCTCTGTCTTGCACTTGTATGGTAGCACTCGGAGTACCAACTCCAAATGTTGGTAATTTGAATGTTGGCATCTTATATTTTGATGGTGATCCTTCTTTTCCCTTTGTCGCAATCTTAATCTCTGGAGCTTTAATTTCCACTTCAGCAGATGTTTTTTTAAGTTTGACTACAGGGAGTTTGACTTCAGCTTTTGTTTCTGGTAGTGTTACATCGACTTCCTTCTTTGAAAAGCTTAAATCTATGTCAGGACGTTTGATTTGAGGCCCGGAAAAACCAAAGCTTGGCATGTTAAACTTGCTTCCTTTTCCTTCATGTTCAGTTCCTGTAGTTTTAATATCGACTTTTGGGCCTTCATTTTCAATGCTGGGAGCTGTAATGTGAACTGAAAGCACCTCTTCGGGAATTGTTATGTCAGATCCATCGATTTTTATGTCTGTGTCCGTATCGGGCAATGCCACAGTGGCACTCGGAAGACCAATGCCAAATTTTGGTAATTTGAATGATGGCATCTTAAATTTTGATGGTGACCCTTCTTTACCCTTTGGCTCAACCTTAATCTCAGGACTTTTAATTTCCACTTCAGCAAGATTTTCTTTAAGTCCAACCTTAGGGAGTTCGACTTCAGCTTTTGTTTCTGGTAGTGTCACATCGAATTCCTTCTTTGAAAAGCTTAAATCAATTTCAGGACGTTTGATTGAAGGCCCGGAAAAACCAAAGCTTGGCATGTTAAACTTGCTTCCTTTTCCTTCATGTTCAGTTCCTGTAGTTTTAATATCGACTTTTGGGCCTTCATTTTCAATGCTGGGAGCTGTAATGTGAACTGAAAGCACCTCTTCAGGAATTGTTATGTCAGATCCATCGATTTTTATGTCTGTGTCCGTATCGGGCAATGCCACAGTGGCACTCGGAAGACCAATGCCAAATTTTGGTAATTTGAATGATGGCATCTTAAATTTTGATGGTGACCCTTCTTTACCCTTTGGCTCAACCTTAATCTCAGGACTTTTAATTTCCACTTCAGCAAGATTTTCTTTAAGTCCAACCTTAGGGAGTTCGACTTCAGCTTTTGTTTCTGGTAGTGTCACATCGAATTCCTTCTTTGAAAAGCTTAAATCAATTTCAGGACGTTTGATTGAAGGCCCGGAAAAACCAAAGCTTGGCATGTTAAACTCGCTTCCTTTTCCTTCATGTTCAGTTCCTGTAGTTTTAATATCGACTTTTGGGCCTTCATTGTCAATGCTGGGAGCTGTAATGTGAACTGAAAGCACCTCTTCAGGAATTGTTATGTCAGATCCATCGATTTTTATGTCTGTGTCCGTATCGGGCAATGCCACAGTGGCACTCGGAAGACCAATGCCAAATTTTGGTAATTTGAATGATGGCATCTTAAATTTTGATGGTGACCCTTCTTTACCCTTTGGCTCAACCTTAATCTCAGGACTTTTAATTTCCACTTCAGCAAGATTTTCTTTAAGTCCAACCTTAGGGAGTTCGACTTCAGCTTTTGTTTCTGGTAGTGTCACATCGAATTCCTTCTTTGAAAAGCTTAAATCAATTTCAGGACGTTTGATTGAAGGCCCGGAAAAACCAAAGCTTGGCATGTTAAACTTGCTTCCTTTTCCTTCATGTTCAGTTCCTGTAGTTTTAATATCGACTTTTGGGCCTTCATTGTCAATGCTGGGAGCTGTAATGTGACCTGAAAGCACCTCTTCAGGAATTGTTATGTCAGATCCATCGATTTTTATGTCTGTGTCCGTATCGGGCAATGCCACAGTGGCACTCGGAAGACCAATGCCAAATTTTGGTAATTTGAATGATGGCATCTTAAATTTTGATGGTGACCCTTCTTTACCCTTTGGCTCAACCTTAATCTCAGGACTTTTAATTTCCACTTCAGCAAGATTTTCTTTAAATCCAACCTTAGGGAGTTCGACTTCAGCTTTTGTTTCTGGTAGTGTCACATCGAATTCCTTCTTTGAAAAGCTTAAATCAATTTCAGGACGTTTGATTGAAGGCCCAGAAAAACCAAAGCTTGGCATGTTAAACTCGCTTCCTTTTCCTTCATGTTCAGTTCCTGTAGTTTTAATATCGACTTTTGGGCCTTCATTGTCAATGCTGGGAGCTGTAATGTGAACTGAAAGCACCTCTTCAGGAATTGTTATGTCAGATCCATCGATTTTTATGTCTGTGTCCGTATCGGGCAATGCCACAGTGGCACTCGGAAGACCAATGCCAAATTTTGGTAATTTGAATGATGGCATCTTAAATTTTGATGGTGACCCTTCTTTACCCTTTGGCTCAACCTTAATCTCAGGACTTTTAATTTCCACTTCAGCAAGATTTTCTTTAAGTCCAACCTTAGGGAGTTCGACTTCAGCTTTTGTCTCTGGTAGTGTCACATCGAATTCCTTCTTTGAAAAGCTTAAATCAATTTCAGGACGTTTGATTGAAGGCCCGGAAAAACCAAAGCTTGGCATGTTAAACTCGCTTCCTTTTCCTTCATGTTCAGTTCCTGTAGTTTTAATATCGACTTTTGGGCCTTCATTGTCAATGCTGGGAGCTGTAATGTGAACTGAAAGCACCTCTTCAGGAATTGTTATGTCAGATCCATCGATTTGTATGTCTGTGTCCGTATCGGGCAATGCCACAGTGGCACTCGGAAGACCAATGCCAAATTTTGGTAATTTGAATGATGGCATCTTAAATTTTGATGGTGACCCTTCTTTACCCTTTGGCTCAACCTTAATCTCAGGACTTTTAATTTCCACTTCAGCAAGATTTTCTTTAAGTCCAACCTTAGGGAGTTCGACTTCAGCTTTTGTTTCTGGTAGTGTCACATCGAATTCCTTCTTTGAAAAGCTTAAATCAATTTCAGGACGTTTGATTGAAGGCCCGGAAAAACCAAAGCTTGGCATGTTAAACTTGCTTCCTTTTCCTTCATGTTCAGTTCCTGTAGTTTTAATATCGACTTTTGGGCCTTCATTTTCAATGCTGGGAGCTGTAATGTGAACTAAAAGCACCTCTTCAGGAATTGTTATGTCAGATCCATCGATATTTATGTCTGTGTCCGTATCGGGCAATGCGACAGTGGCACTCGGAAGACCAATGCCAAATGTTGGCAATTTGAATGATGGCATCTTAAATTTTGATGGTGATCCTTCTTTACCCTTTGGCTCAACCTTAATCTCAGGACTTTTCATTTCAATGTCAGCAGTAGTTTCTTTTAATCCAAATTGATGGGGTTTGACTTCAGCTTTTGCCTCTGGTAGTGTAACATCAACATCTTTCTTTGAAAAGCTTAAATCAATGTCAGGACGTTTGATTTGAGGCCCGGAAAAACCAAGGCTCGGTAGTTTAAACTTGCTTCCTTTCTCTCCATGTTCAGTTCCTGTCGTTTTAATATCTATTGATGGGCCTTCAGTGTCAATGCTTGGTGCTTGAATGTGAACTGCGAGCACCTCTTCAGGAATTTTAATGTCAGCTCCATCGATTTTGATTTCTTTGTCTGTATTCGGCACCTCTACGGCAGCACTTGAAGTACTAACTCCAAATTTGGGTAGTTTGAATGTTGGCATCTTAAATTTTGATGTCGATCCGTCTGATCCTTTCTTTACAACTTTGATCTCAGAACCTTTGAGTTCCACCTCAGCAGAAGGTTTTTTCAGTCCAACGTCAGGGAGTTTGACATCAGCTGTTGCTTCTGGTTGAGTCACATGTATGTCTTTCTGTGATAAGCTTAAATCCATATCAGGCAGTTTGATTTGAGGCCCGGAAAAACCAAGACTTGGTAGTTTAAAGTTGCTTCCTTTTTGCTCCTGTTGGGTTTCTGTTTTATCTACTGATGGGACTTTAGTTTCAATACTGGACCCTGCAATGTCAACTGCTAGAACTTCTCCAGAAATTGTAATGTTAGTTCCATCAATTGTAATGTCTCTGTCCGTATCTGGTACTTCTACAGTAGCACTTGAAGTACCAACTCCAAATTTAGGTAATTTAAATGATGGCATCTTAAATCTTGATGGTGATCCTTCTGTACCCTTTTGTCCCATCTTGATCTGAGGACCTTTAATGTCTACCTGGGCCGAAGGTTCTTTCAAGCCAACATCAGGGAGGTTGACCTCAGCTTTGGCTGGTAGAGTCACATGCATATCTTTCTTTTCTAAACCTAAATCAAGGTCTGGCTGTTTAATTTGAGGCCCAGAAAAACCAAGGCTTGGTAGTTTAAACTTGCTTTCTTTCCCTTCAGTTTTGATAACTATGGATGGGTCTTCAGTGTCAACAATGGGTGCTGTAATATGAACTGCAAGCACTTCTTCAGGAATTGTAATGTCAGCTCCATCAATTCTGATGTCTTTGTCCTTTTCTGATACTTCCACAGTGGCACTTGGAATATTAACACCAAATGTTGGTAATTTGATCGTCGGCATCTTGAATTTTGATGGTGATCCTTCTTTATCCTTTGTTGCAACCTTGATCTCAGGAGCTTTGATTTCCACTTCAGGTTGTGTGATTTCAACACTGGCCAGGTTGATTTCAGCTTTGGCTTTTGGTAATGTGACTTCTAAATCCTTCTTTGATAAACTTGAATCAAGCTCAGGTCCTTTAACTCTGGGCATTGAGATGCCAAACTTTGGCATTTTGAACTTGCTTCCCAATCTTTCAATGTCACTTTCTTTAGCTTTGATATCTACAGATAGGTCTTCAGTGTCAATGCTGGGTGCCGTGACATCAACTGTAGCTCCGTCAATGTGTAAATCCAGATCAGGTTTGTCCACACTGACCTTTGAAGTAGCAGCTCCAAATGTGGGTACTGTAAATGTTGGCATTTTAGGTTTTGACAGTGATCCTTCAACATCACCTATTTTTTTCCTGTCAATCTCATGAGCTTTAATTTCCACGGAAGCAGATGGTTGTTTTATTTTGATTTCTGGTAGTTGAACTTCAGCTTTGGCTTCTGGGAGCTTGATGTCTACATCTTTCTTTGATAAGCTCAAATCAATCTCAGTTCCTGTTACCTTTGGCATTGTGATTCCAAATGTCGACATTTTAAACTTGCTTCCCTTCCTGTCAACATCTGCTTCACATTCTGGTAGTTTTGTTTCAACTTCCCCTACTTTCACTTCAACTTTTCCTTCTGGAATTGCCACATTCACATCCTGAACGTTTGCATCAACTTCTGGGGCCTTAACACTTCCTTTTGAAAAAGAGAATCTGGGCATTGAAAACCTTCGCTTTTTCAATTTTGCATCAATCTCAACCTCTGGCTGTTGCTCTATCACAACAGTGCCTAAAATATGTTTGACTTCAATCTCTGGCAGCCGGACCTCTGCTTTAACGTCTGGTGCATCAACATCTGTGTGGGGCACAGCTATGCGCAAGTCTGCGCCATCAATTTTGATTTCTTTTTCTATATCAGGTACTTCAGCGCTGAGATTTGGAGTGGCAGCCCCAAATTTAGGAAAATTAAATGTGGGCATTTTAAATTTTGAAGGTGACCCTTTCTTACTGCTTCCTTGAGCTTCAATTTCAGGTGCTTTGATTTCCACTTTAGCAGAAGGTTGTTTTAGTTCAACATCGGGGAGTTTGTTTTCTGGTATTGTGATACTGAAATAGCTGAAATCAGTTTCAGATCCTTTAACTTTTGGCATTGATATTCCAAACTTTGGCTTGTTGAACTTGCTTCCTTGTCCATCCATTTCTGCTTCTCCCTCTGGTAGTTTCATGTCCACCGCGATTGGAGGAGCTCCTGAAAGTTCAACCTCCGCTTTAGCCTCCGGTATTGTCACATCTACGTCTTTCTTTAAGAAGCTTAAATCAATTTGAGGTCCTTTTACTTTTGGCATTTTCATTCCAAACGTTGGCATTTTAAACTTGCTTTCTTGTACATCCATTTCTGCTTCACACTCTGGTGCTTTCATATCCACATCAATTATAGGAGCTTCTGGGAGATCAACTTCAGCTTTAGCCTCTGGTAGAGTCACATCTACATCTTTCTTTGAAATGCTTAAGTCAATCTCAGGTCCTTTTACTTTTGGAAATGTGATTCCAAACTTAGGCATTTTGAACTTGCTTCCTTGCACATCCATTTCAGCTTCACACTCTGGCACCTTAATATCCACATCAATTTTAGGAACATCTGGGAGTTTAACTTCAGTTTTAGCCTCTGGTAGAGTCATATCTTTATCTTTCTTTGGAATGCTTAAATCAATTTGAGGTCCCTTTACTTTTGGCATTGAAATTCCAAACTTTGGCATATTGAACTTGCTTCCTTTCCCATCCCTTTCTGACTCGTACTCTGGTGGTTTCATTTCCACAGCAATTTTAGGAGCTTCTGGGAGTTCAACCTTAGCTTTGGCCTCTGGTATTTTCACATCTATATTTGTCTTTGAGATGGTTGAATCAATCTCAGGTCCTTCAAATGTTGGCATTGTGATTCCAAACTTTGGTATTTTGAACTTGCCTCTGTTTCCTTCAAGTTCAATTCCAGTCTGGGAAAGTTTTATTTCCTTTTCAGGTTTCTTTACTTCCACCTTTGCCTCTGAAATGAAAACCTCTGCTTTTTCAATACTGACATCCATTTTAGGGGCCTTTGGGAATTTGATTTCAGCTTTGGTCCCTGTAAATGTAATATCTGTGTCTTTCTTTGATAAGCTTGAATCTACATATGGCCCTTTGACTCTAGGCATTTCAGCAGAAGGTAGTTTTGGTTTTACTTCAGGGAGGTTGAACTCAACTTTGGCTTCTGGCAGTGTGACATCTACATCTTTCTTTGATAAGCCTAGATGAAATGCAGGTCCCTTTACCTCTGGAATGGAAATTCCAAACTTTGGCATTTTGAACTTATATCCTTGTCCTTCAGGTTCAGTCTGCAAAGCTTTCATTTCAAGATCAATTTCTTTAACTTTGGCCTTTGCATCCGGCATCAAAATGTGTGCTTTTTCAAAACTGACATCAACTTTAGGGACATCTGAGTGTTTTACCTCAACTTTGGACTGGGGTAATGAGACATCAACGTCTTTCCTCGATGAGCTCAAGTCAAATTCTGGCCCTTTTACGTTTGGTATTTTGATTTGAAACTTTGGCATTTTGAACTTTTCACTCTGTCCAACAAGTTCAACTTCACCAGGCAATAACTGCATTTCAGTTTCATGTTTTCTAACCTCCATCTTAACCTCTGGAATTGAAACATCTACTTTTCCAACATCAACCCCTGGAAGTTTTACATCAGCTTTTGTCTCTGGTAATTGAACATCTACTTCTGTCTTTGGTAAGCTTAAATCACTTTTAGGTGCTTTCACTTTTGACATAGAGAAACTAAGATGTGGCATTTTAAATTTGCTTCCTTTCCCGTCCTCTTCAGTTCCTGTAGTTTTCATATCTACTGAAGGAACTTCCGTTTTCCACGTTGGAAAAGAAACATCAGCTTTTCCAAGACTGAAATCAATTTCAGGAGCATCAAGGACTTTTACTTCAGCCTTGGCTTCAGGAAGTGTCATATCTCGGTCTTTGTTTGATAAGCCAAAGTGAATTTCAGGTCCTTTTACTTTTGCAGTCGCGATTCCAAACTTTGGTTTCTTGAACTTGCTTCCTTGTCCATCAAGTTCACCTTCAGGCTGCCTTGGTTGGATTTCCACTTCAGGTTTTTTGACCTCCATCTTTCGCTCTTGTATAGAAGCCTCTACATTGATGTCAACCTCAGAAATGTCTTGGTGTTTAATCTCAGTTTTAGGTTCTGGTAGTGTGACATCTACGTCTTTTTTTGATAGGCTTAAATCAATTTTAGGATCTTTCATTTTTGGCATGGAGATGCCAACATTTGACATTTTGAACTTGCCACTTTTTTCCTCATTTTCAAGTATTTTTGTCTCAGCCCCATCAATATTTATATCCTTGTCTGCATCGGGCACATTTTGGCTGACGATCGGAGTTGCTGCTCCAAATTTGGGCAGTTTTAATGTGTGCTCAACCTTTGGGCCTGCAGCATCGAGATTAACATCAAAACCTGTAAACCCAATGCCACTTTCATTTCTGGCTGGTGATCCATCAGCTGAATCAATGTATTCAATGCCTTCAATTTCCGGTACTTTGACATCAGATGTGACTTCTCCAATCTTCGTACTTGTGTTTGTCTTTGATATTTGTACTTCTTGGAGGAATATAGTCCTTTCGCCTTTTACGTTGTCACCTTTTTGCTCAGAGATATTTTGTTTTGGAAAGTGAATTCCAACATCCGGGATTTTTATTTCTGGTTTTCCAATCCCAAAGCTCGGCATCTTTTTCTTTGCGTTCTTTGATTTGTCGTCTTGTGTTTCTTGTGTCAGAAGATTCACCACTTCTTGTTCACTTTCCTTTCCAGGGATTATGATATGTTCTCTTTTATTTACCGCTTCGCCACTTTGTTTAGGCTCAGTTTTGTATTCCTTTTCAGTTTTTTTAAGATCTACCTTGGTCTCCATTACAAGTTCCTCTGAATTAAGATAAGATGGTGTGATCTTTGGGAGTTTGATTGTTGTTTTGGAGATTTCATGAGTGGCAGTGATGTCCGCCTTACTGAAGTGTGCGCCACGTTTCGTTTTAGTCGGTGTTTTCACTGATATTCTCTGTGCATTTGCATCTATAACAGTAATTTCTTCTGGAATAAGCATTCCACTTGTGTCAACCTTAGGCAGCTTAAATCCAGGCAATTTAGAAACTGCCTCTTTCACGCTGTCCACATCAATCAACATTTGTACAGTTTCAGCTTGAATCTTTTCATAATGGCCTGTAAAGACAGCTTTAGGCACTTTAATTCCTTTGGCTGTGGTTCTCATAGACATGTCCTCCATACCTGGAATCTCAATGTCTTCACGTTTTGGAAGTTTTGTTTTGGAAATACGTTTTGACAGTTGGTCATAAGGATCTACTTTCTCTTCTGTACCCTCAGTAGTAAGCTGCTCAGTTTTAGTTGTGCATTCTCCAACATTTACATCAACTTTTGCAATGTCACTAAAACCTATTTTAGGCATTTTAAATGTTGGACCTGTCTTTATTTCTTGTTTCTGTTTAATGTCCTTGCCTGTCTTAGTTTTTTCTTCAACTTTCTGTGGAGATTTTTGTATCAGTGTAACATCAGATACTTCAAGTTCCACCTTTGGTACATTTATTCCCTCTGATTTGGCTTGGATTACCCTTGAGCAATCACTGCTGATTATTTGGGTATTGGCATCAAGTGCTGGTTGATCTCCTTTCTTATTTTCAGATTGGTCTGCTGTTTCAATACTTGCCCCAAGCGTTTTCAGCCTTTTTGGTGAGGATTTTGCCTTTGCATCCTTCTTGTGTGATTTATCCTTCCCCAAAATTTTCATTTTTAATTCAGAGCACTCTTTCTTCTTTTTCTTCCCATCAGGGGACTTGACACCAGAGGAGCTTTCTTTACCTGCTAGAGCCAAGGTTAGATCTTCTGTTTTCAAAGTGCTATCTATAGTGATGAGTTCCACCTTGTGTTGAACAGTTTTAGGCTCTTTTTCCTCCCATCTTAAGTCTTCAACTACCTTTAGCTCCTCTGTCACATAGACCTGAGGTGTTTCTCCTGAGGGACTTTCAAGGGTCTCAGGGGAAACCAACTGCGCAGTTGTCGGTGCATCTGTGTCCTGGTCTTCAGATGAACTTATGCGACCTCTCTTTGACAAAAGAGGAAGCTTTATTTTATTCTTCTTCTTGCCCTTCAGGGCATCCTGAGACTTTATAGGGGACTCCGTATCGCTTGTAGTGGGGCTAAGCTCAAGCTTTCTTTGCTCCTCAGCCTCTGAGGAGCTGTGAGACCTTGAAAAGCGAGACTTTTTTTTTCCTTTTCCAAAGGAGGGAAACTTAGGCCAAGAAATGCGGGCATCACTACGCCTTTTGGTTTTTCCATTCTCTCTCATCTCTGGAGCGTAGACATCTTCTTCCTGTTGAGCAATATAAATATGACATGTCAGTTTTATACCCAATACCTGTTTGTTATCACAAAGAATCTGACAACCTAAAAATAGTTACAGGGATGACGTCAGATTTGGTGACCGGTTCCGTCTCTGTGATGACTGGTGTGCGTTTCAAGCAGAGCTTTACTTTGTAAGCCTGAGCGTGCTCCAGAATCTGAATGGCGTCCTCGTATGACATGTTGTCAAAATAAACAGTGGCACTCAGAATTCGATCACCTGTGAAACAAGAGAAACATATTTCAGAAGGCAATCAGTCAAAACCGTTTTATAAGAAAAAAACTGGGAAATATTCAAAATAATCAGTCATTAGACTTTGCAACTTGCTCTTTAAGTTTCTTCAGTTCAATTCATGACATTTTTAAGGATTACAATATTTAAAGTAGATATAAATAATAGTTAACATTTCAAAATTGAATAAACAACATACAATATTTATGAATACATTTTTACTCATTTATTGTAATTGAAAAAGAGAATGTCTCTATAATTGTTACCCTCTTTTAGTTTCAGATTTGAGGCAGGTGACTCTGGTACCACTTCTTTTATGAATATTCCCTCTCTCCCTCCTCCACCGTAAACAAGACCCTCTGAACATCCATCTTGGGCTGTTTTCACCATCACCCCAGACTCAGGGCTGTGGTCTTCCTGTTAACACATCAAAACAGAGAGGATACAACCGTTTTACCTTTAGCTGTTTAATGATCTGCTACAACAGAGATACAGAGAGGACAAGTCTCACCTTCAGTTTACTCATCTTTGGAGTTGAGCGCTTTTCAAACATCGACCCGAGCCCAGACTTTTTACTTTTCTTTCCACTCCCACTTTTGTGGTATGGGTCATGCTCTGCTTCACACTGAAAGAAGAAAAAGCAGTACATTTCATTCTAACTAAACATTATTCTGGACATACTGTTTTTAATCAGGCAACACAATATCTGCTTTGAGAGGGAAGGGTAATATACTGTAAATACAACATGGCAGTAGCTAGGTCTGGATCATTATTGCAATATGCAACATTCAACAAAACAGAAAGCCAATGTTACACCATACTCTTTTGACGGTACACAAACAGTGATATTGCAACTGGTGTCATTGATATATTGTTTCCATAAATTAACTGATTTGTGCAATCCATATTTATTAAATTAACTGATTTGTGTAATCGATATACTGCTCCGCCTGATGCTCAGCAGGCTTTGTATACGAAGAGGCTATAGGTGGTTTTGTTTCCTAAGAGGCTGCATACACTTAAAGGTTTTGAAAAATGTAAAGTGCCAACAGAAGATCAGAGATCTAGTTTTAAAGGTGCTAACAGAAGAACACATTTTGGATAGATAACCCTTACAAGCTTGCTTCTTTTGGTCACACGCTTATTTTTCCAACGTCATTTGTAGATGGCCGAAACAAAGTACTCTGTTGAATCAAAGATAGCCTTTTGAGTGACCAAGTGTGTTAATACCTATTTAAGTAAACACGTTATAGTGTGCTCTCTGTAATAATCTGATTTCTAAAAGGTCCATGTTCAAAAAGAAACTAATGTTCCCCAGTTGAGGAAGCCCAGTTATTTCAGCTGTTTATTTACATTTTATTATTTATTTATTATTACAGTGCATGTAACAGGTTCTCAGATGTATTCTCTTGACCTGGTTTCTCCCCGTTACTGCAGTTTCTGTCTCTGTATAAATGGTTGTGTGTCGATGATCTGTACCTCTTTGTCACTGTCGGTGTATTTTTCCGTTTCAGGATACTCCTCGACGGGGGAGGACCCTTGAGGCCGTGGTCGCTCTCTCTCTGTGAACTGAGATGGCTCGTCACATGTCTGCGTGGACAGAAGGTCAGTTAGCACGAAAAACAGTCACATGGTTTATCCCCAAAACAGTTGAATCATTTCAAAGAGATATTATGACATGAGTCAGTTTAGTCAGATTTTACTTAATCTGCCTAAAAGCATCTCCTCTTCTTTAACCACCATGTAACATTTGTAATAGCATTCATATAACTGAGCCTGCAGCAGCACAAAGGTGTTGAGCAAACTGCATCAGGAAAAGTGTGATAACACCTTGCTCTGCCAAAGGCAGCATTGACTGGATGTTCTGCTCTTAAAACTTGTCACAATGTGTGTTGGCCGGTCTGTGATACCAACACCAGAGGAAAATATCTAAAAAATAAATGTTTTCATATTATTTGTTACATATTATGGTTCCCCAGAGCATTAACCCCAATGACTTTGGTTATCCTTTGAATTTTAACTTAGCACCACTTACAGGTAAAACGGGTCATGTCAGGATATTTTGCAAACTAATGACTAAGCTGTACCAAATGTATTTCTTTTTACATGCAAAACTTCAATTTTCAAATTACCCTTTGATAGACTTTCGCCAGACATAATGACGTCATCACCCTTAAAAATGTAATAAAATAAATACTTTAAAATGTTTAATTTGAATAAAGTGATTCATTTGATCAAATAAAGGTAATCAATTTATCTCGTCATTGCATGCGTCCTCTGTGTGTGAGAAGTGGTGGAGTGAACAGTCTTTTGACCGCAGTGAAATGAAGTTTTGAACTATATTCAGTACAGCCCTACCAATGTCATTTGTGATGTTCGAAAAATAACCTGCAAACATCAAAATGCTAACGTCTTAAATATTCCATTGTTTCATTAAGATGATAAATAGTGCACATATTACCCGTAGTCCTCTACCCTCCATGCATTCATATAGTTGGTTTTGTATTGTTTAATTTGAAAAGACAGGCAATACATACTATCTTATCAGCTAAATTATATAAGTAACCAACATGGATGTCTATTTCTCTTCTTATCAAAGTATTTTAAGCTTATCAACTTATGGTTTTGAACAAAGGCCTTTTCATCAAGTAGTACAAGAAATGTAAGGTGTGCCCAATTTGAAAGGCTACAGTTTTGAACATGCTGGTGTTTTCTTGTCTAAAACAAATTTGAAGAAATAATCAGAAAGTCCTTATTCTTTATAAGTCACTCACTGAATCGTCCTCTGTACCAGGCTCTGGTGCTCTTAGCCTCCGACCAGCACCTGTTAATAAGAAAACACAGAGAATAGACAAAACATAAATACCAAAAATAAATCTGACATGATAGAAAATGACTTGATTTTAATATATTAAATTGTAATGGTACGTAAAATTCACTTTGTCAAAGCTATCTCAATCAGAGTTGTGTTAAAATAATGAATGAAAGCAATACAGGAACTGCAGCAAATGTAAATTATCTGCTGTTTATCTGCATTTCTTTTTTTAAGCAGTAAGCCGAGACTTCCAGCCTGTGGCTCCTAACAATTGTTTCCAGGCTCAGAGACAGAGAGAGACACTGGAGCCGATGATGAGACTATTTTGAGTTTCTTCCTGGCAATAATTCCCCCAGAGACCCGCTGCCTCCTTTGTCTGTTAAGTGATCCGCTACATTGATCCACAGATAAGACTCAGCTCAGCCCTGATGGCTGCCGAAAAGGGAAAGTCTGACTCCAAATGGTTAGTCAGATTATTATTATAATTACCCGCTCTGATACCTGATCTCTAATTGATTTAAATCCATTTTGAACTGTATCCTTCATTAATTTAATGTGAGGTTAATTCCATCAGGATACTACTTAGGGATGAAGAAGGTTTGTTAGTCTTTCAAATGTTCGCGATGAAAAAACAAGCAAATTCCCAAATGAAAACGTTTTCATAAATCAATGCTTGATGATTGTAGGTAAACGCTGTTGCTCTTTCTTCCACATTTTCTGTGGTTTTAGATCCTCATTGGTTGATTAATTAATATCATCAGGAGGCGAATGTTATGTCGTCGGTACAATTTAGTATTGGATAAAATGTGGTTGCACTACACATGGAGAATCCAATCATTTTCATTGCAGATAAAATGTTTTTGGTCTTTCTACAGCCAAGTCCTTTTCTAGTGGTGGACAGGTGATAGGTTTTAAAACAAACAATGCTGTCTTTGTTAGTCTTACTTACGCACTAAACTGCTCAACTCAAATCAAGAAGTTAAAGGAATGAGTCGCCCAAGATCAGTATTACTTGCACCAACATCCTACAGTATCAACTCCCATAAATGGGCACCACTTTACAATAAGACTACCCTTATAAAGGATTCATAAAGGGTTTATAATTAGGCTATGAATTAGGTTGTAAACAGTTTATTAATCATTAAGAACCATTTATAAACCAGTTCTAACATAGTTTTCATACATCAACACAGGCTCACTATTTGGCAAGAGGACTAAGCCTTATATTGGCTACTTAGCGAGAATCAACTCAGTGAACAACAGATACCAAGGATGCTAGCTGATGAAGAAGACAAAGTAAGCTAGGTAGCCAATATAAGATTTAGCAGTACAGATAAATGTGGGCTCACTATTTGGCAAGCAACCGGTCTTGTGTCTTATAAAAGCTTATTAATGATTAAAGTGTTCACAACCTAATTAATAAATGAATTACAAACTATTCGTAAACCCTTTATAAGGGTAGTCTTATTGTAAAGTGGTACCCATAAATGCAATGCTGGATGATTTGTAGTTCAATTTTTAGGTTAATCAGAACTCTTTAGTTCTCATGAACTAAGTACAGATCGCTTTCACACCGGAATAAGTCCCTGGGGGAGGATTAGGCAAATGAAGCCGCTGACGTCACTTCTTCTTCTTCTGCTTTGGGTTTACTGGCAGGCCGCAAACAACTTCACGGCGTATACTGCCACCCGAAGTCCCCGGAGTTAGGGACTGGCTTCAGTAGAAGCTGCTGGGAGTCCCAGCAGCTTCTACTGAAGCCTTCCGAGTAAATCGCCAGAACGCCGACACCTCCTCATCTCCACCGCTCCCATGTTTTCTTTTGTGTTGCCATAAGTTAGTCTCTCTGCGTTTGTGCGCTGGACTAATGCTAATGCTAATAATGCTAATGCGAGGATAATAAAATGGCGGCTTCACAAAACTTTTTGGGAGTTTTACGGGGCGTGGTTTGCAATCCGCCCAGCCAATCAGACATAGGAACCTTTTTCTCCCACGAAAGTACCTGCTCTCTAGCAGGGATGGAAAAGGGGGGAAAAAACGTTATCCTCTTAACACATTTGAAAAAAGGTCCCCATATTTTCCCAAATGTATTTGAGGAAATTGGTAGATTATTGATGTTGAAAACATTTTTTATCTGAGTGATTTACTAATGTAAATTTGGAGTGTAATCAGTTTTTTCTTCCCCGAGTAGTGCGAGTGGTTTTTAAGCAATGTGTATGTTCTTTATCAAAAGAAGAGTTAAGTAGAAACTAAACTGAAGTAACTTTAATCATTTGGAAACACACATGTATCTGGTTATAGTTATAGATGCAAAAGGTAGGAAGTTCTCATTTGAAACCCAGAGACTTTTTTTTTAATGTCACTTATTGAACAACCATGCAATATACCACGTGTAGTTTCTCAACTAACTACCCCTTTGACACCCCTCCCTGTGCCTTAATGAATGTCATGTGAAGAGCTTCTGGAGAAAGTGCATTAGAAGACAGTTACCACAAGAGACTGATGGTATAAAGAATCCTCCCATGTCTGTCTCAGGGTGTGTTGCTGCTTCAAGGTTAACAATCCAAGAGAGTTCATGAAGCTAACACGACATCATAGCTTTAATACTGATTACATACATATTAATAAGCATAGATCTGACATTAGGCTCAGAAATATCAACAGAGAAAATGTATCTGCAAGAAAAGTAGTTTCTCACTATAAACACTGAACGCGCCACAGTCTAGACGTGTTGTGAAATATAATAATCACATCTTTACAGCTGCCTGTGCCATCCGTCTCATCACCATTCATATCTTACACACACAAAGAAAATCTCACAATCTACATTTCAGAGCCCTTTATGTGGATTCAAAGACCTCACTTACCTGCTGCTTTTGTTTGTTTAACTCCTAGGAATAAAGCGAGGTGTTAGTAACGACACATCCAAACTGCCCTGAAACTTTGCTGTGTGAGAGTGTGACTGCCAAAGTGGCTAAAGTGATTTGTACAGTGTCAGATGGACAAAAGAGGCGGGACACTTTTAGGGTTGCAGTCATACTTTTCCTGAACTTGTGTCACTCCTAAAGTGAATGAAGTGCCTCATGTTGACTTTGGTTCACAGCCTTTGCAACACACATTCCTTCAAATAAAGTTACATTCACATGAATCTCTCACTAATTAATACCACAACCCCTTACCATTTTCTGAAATGATCAATATAGAGGAAGAACATCTTAAAAAGCTTTTTTTGTATTTGTTCACCTACGATGAACATAATATATTATATTACTGAAAGACACATAATACTTAAGATTAAGATGATTTAAAGGTGATGAAACAAGGGACATTTAATGCACTAAAAGTGAGAATGTTAGCAAGGTGATGTTAGCATTTAGCACAGTAAAGCCTAGAGTGCATAGCAAAGTTGCAGACTTTATCTTATCTCAGTAGCTTTGTTGACTTAATGAAAACAATTAAGAGTTTAAGAGACAAAAAAATGTTTTGTTTGCAAGTGTGAATTGTATCTTAGTAGTCTTATCATCATATATCTGCTGTCAGTCTTGTGAAAGTAACTAGAAATAATTTACTCACCTACTTTACTTAAGTATTCCTTTTAGCTACAAGTATTTGCTTTTTATGCCACTTAATACTTTATTTCCTTATATGACAGCTATAGTTACTTACTTTTAAGTACAAGTACAGCTAGAACAATAAGTTGACAAAAGTTCAAATTAACCGATTACCAATTTATATTTAAAGCAGAATTCTTTCATCGTTTCAGCTTAACAAATCAAATCAAGTTTTATTTATATAGCACATTTATAAACGATTTTTGGTCGAACCAAAGTGCTGTACATATAATAAAAATAGCCTACAGTAGAGACACTTTACAGCAAATACAACAGCACAGATTGTTCAGAATATCAGTATGAGAAAAACGACACCCTCTATCCTTAGACCCTCACATCGTACAAGGAAAAACTTCCAGAGAAAACCCACAGTTTAAGGGGAAACATGGGAGAAACCTCAACCTTTAAACAACCTAACAACCTTTGTTAACAAATTAAGTGATTTGCTGCCTTTTCCTTTATTTATTTGTATTTTATCTAATGATATTATATATAATAGTGTAACCATCACATTTAGCATTGAGTACTTTTACTTTAAATACTTATGAGAACATGTTCCTGATATACGTCAGTACTCATTTTAATTAAATGGTACCATGAATGCAAGACTTTTACTAGTAACTGGTTGTTTTTATTTACGGTGTGGTATTGCTACTTTTACCTAAGTAAAGAATCTGAATACTTCATTCACCACTGCCTACTGTACACATATCACTTTAGGCAGCAGTTCACAAAACCTGCAAATATGTTAAATGCTATTCTTTCAAATCCAACAGGTAGAAAAGTTAGCCCTGAAACAGGAAGTAGGAGACAGGAAAGTTGATGACAAATGTCCAACCATCACATAAAAAAGGTTTTCCACAAGTATCAAATTACATTTTCTATTTGAACACAACCTGTTTGGATTGTTTATTCACAGCAACTGAATTAGATAGTTTCATTAAATTAATCAGAGCGGCTGAAAACTGTCATGTGCCAAGTGTTAAGTTCACATCTGCTGTAGTAGCTAATCACGGTGTCACTGTGTGCACGGAGCTTAGTGAACCATTCAGGCCCCGCTTTGCTTGACTGGAAGATGTATTTCTTACGCTATTGACAACTTAATTCAGGCGGATGTCCCTGTATTGTTGCCCTAACTAGTGGCAGTGCACATGTAGAAACTCCTTTCTCAAATATTTGTCATGTGGGTGCTACAGATGGCCCGATAACAACCCTCACTGCTGCCTGAAAATATCGAAATTAAATCACAAAGTTTACCTGTTTATTTATTTGAGTGATTTTACATTGTAAATATTCTGATACAAAGCCACTGCCTGCCTTTTTAATTTGACTTGAATGATGACATTCTGCAGATATATAAGTACAAGCAGTAGATGCTGAAGTCCTTTGTGGTGCAGATCCTGCATGAATCATATTTGGGTGCAACTGCAGCTCTGGATCTGGGAGTGGTCCGTCCCTCAGTGCGGATGTGACGAAGATAAAGCTTTAAAACGACTTAGACTGCAAACAACACTGACAGACTCATCTTCCCTAACTCAGTGCTGTGAGAGTGGTCCTCTCGTATACAGGCTTTCCAAGGCATCGATTCAAATCCACACACTGCAATGCTAGAATTCTTATTCAAATGAGAATCCTGACTGTATGTATTAGTCCTCAGCTAATCTCTTACGTAACCTCGTGCTTCCTGTTTGAATGCACCTGGAGGCTCCCTGAAGCTCTTCTCTTCACTAAACTAATAATAACGTATTACAGCTCATTATTTGTACTCTTGGATTCAGTATCTTCTCTTCTTTTTTTTGTTAAACAGACGGACACAAGGTCCTTTCACTGTTTATTTGGATCCAAATTATAATAAGAACTAAAATTAGATTTTCCTCATGGATTATACGGACATGAGACTGTAAAAGCGCATGCTTTCAATCTATTTATCTACTGCAAACTCACAGCAAATTTAATCTCAGCTCTGGAATTTGTATCTTAATCTGCCTGTATTGCTATACGACATGCAAATACTGTACAACAAAAACACAGATATAATATATAATACAATATTATTTCAGGTCAGCACCTGGGCTGCAATGTGTTTGTTTAGCCTGGAATGCCTGAAGCCCCAAGTGACTCAGATGTATTCATATTTTCCTGTGTGTTATTTTGTAGATTTGAAGGGTTCGACAGATATATAACGTTGATTTTCTTCTTTTATCAAATGTACATTTTTGAACTGATTACTGCCAAAGTTGTTTACTGACAACCACTACAGTGTTCTAAATAGACTCTGGATGAACTGTATTTGTTTCCATTTAATTCACTTTGAGAATTTATTCTAAGTAACACAATGTTCCTCTAGTCCGTGTTTAAGTGTCTTATAATGATCTAAAAGATGTTGCTGGTCCTCCCTGACAAAAAGTAAATCAAGATGGAAATGTATCATATACAAAAACATTGAAGATGTGTGTTAGTGTCAACATCCTTCCTGCAACCTCAAATGGTCCACTGTAAATAAGTCAAAATGCAATACAAATAAAGCAACGTCCACCTGACGCTCCTAGCAGGTTAAAACTAATCTCATATTGACTATTTTCCCTGAAGCTGGTCTCAAGTGGTGTGATATCGATCCGAGAGCAGGATTTTCCAACTGAGGCTGATGGTTCGTAATGCATCAGGATCATCTGATTCAGGCTCCACTGCTGAGCAGATCGTCAGCCTCTCTGTCTGGCTCACTTCCTAACCTCTCCCTCCTTCTCTCTCTCCTTCCTTCTCTCTGACCTTGAGCGTCGCCTGAAGCCTTTCACAGCAACACCAACCTCTCTTCAGGCAGATTTAATTATATGCAGCAGCAGAGGTAACTGAGGATAATTGTGGGAAACGGAAAGATGGAAGATGGAATCACAGCCAGTATTATTTCCAAATCAACATTAAACCAGACAGCATATATTCACCTCCTTTTTTACAACATCCAACAATAATATGAATTATGATGTCAACTTATTTATCAAAATATAATATTAAGTATTTGAACTAGGCTGTTAAATAAGACACATTTTAAATTCCCCTAAAACAATGAGTGATTTTTTTTCTTCTAACTGTGCTGACAATATATTATCTTATACGTATGTCGTGTTCGTGATTCAGCAATTTCTTTGGATCATTTTATTTTTGTATTTACTCATACTAGGTCAGAATCTACCCTATCAAAGCCTTTGAAGTTGGTTTGAAAAATCAATTATTTAGAAATTGATCATGGATTGGAAAACCCCCAATAAACAAGCATACATTAAAAATACATCACTTTTTCCAGCCAAATGATTAAAAACCAATGTCTGCAATGCAAATTGCGTGACAAAATCACTTCTTCACAGATTTGCAGTTCAAACATTCATCATGATCAATCATAACGCATTTTTTCCCCAGCAGAATTTCATGATTGCAAGCATAATCGCTAATCTATGGCTCGAATAGATTCAGTTTTACGTAACTATGCCCACACTCTTGATCAGATATGGTTTATCTACACTGCATAATGTAAACCCTGCATTTATAATCTAGAAAAATCCATAATGGGGTGTGTATCAAGAGAAATGTATTTCTTTTAGAGCTTTTAGCATGGGCTAAAAGTGATGCAAGGTAACCGGTAATAACTCTTCCCTCTTGAAGGCTGCAGCTTTAAAGCTTTCATCTCTGGGGCTTTTTTGGGGGAATATTTACGACACATTTCAGTAGCCTTTTTTCATGTTTACCCCCTTGAAGTTTCCCTCTATCAATATGTTTCTGCTTTGCTGAACTGCCACAGTAACCCAGTCTTTCTTTCTGCCTTTCAGCCTCTGCTTCAAAACACACAGCATGAGGGAAACAGTAGAAGAAGAGCAGAGCAGCCTGACAGCGTCGATGATGACATCTTCAAACACCCCCCCCCCCCCCCCCCCACACACACACTGCAGACACACCCAGCGCTCCACTGCAGGTCAGCAACACAACTCAGCATCAGCACCAGACGCCTCACACTCACTCACTGTCTCTCCGCTGCACTAAAACACACACATAATCTATCCTGCTGCTGCAGCTGAATCAGTGAGTTTCTCAGAGGGAAAACAGCAAAGATAAAGTCATAGAAAGGGAGATAGAGGGGGAAAAGAGAGTGTGTGATGCCCACCCGTCCCTGAAGAGGCGGCGTGCCAGTTAGGAAGGGCCAGGTGGAAACAGTCGCACATGATGGCAGCGGTGGTGGAAACGCCGGCAGCAGAGATGAAGTCCTGGGACGTGCAGGCTGAAGGGAAGGAGGGAGGGAGGGTGGAGGTGGTGGAGGGCGATGCAGGTGCTGCTTCTGTTGCTCTTTCTGCTTCTCCCCCCCCTCTAGTCGTCCTGTGTCAGCCTGTGTTGTGCAGCGAGGGATGAGTTGCAGAAATAACCGAAGAGAGAGGAAAAGAGAGCGCTGCCTTCTCCGAGCTCAGTGCTGTCCACTAAGTGAAGGAAACTCCCACTGCTGCCCCGTAAACATGGACCTCCAGCGCAGCACGATAACTTAATAATGGGAGGAGCTGCCCCCCCCCGCCTCCTCCTTAACTCACACAAACACATCCCTTAGTTCTCCTTCTCCTCCTCCTCTTCCTCTAAATTCCTCTTCCCCCTCTCTCCTCTGTTCAGTGTCATTGATCGGCCTAATCGGACAAGGACAATCAGGATGTCAGCTTCTGGCTCCAGTGTTTGCGGGGGGGGTACAGTTTATTGACATGGAGACATAACTCAATTTGACGCTGTGTACACTTAGTTTAAAACCCCTTATTGTGGGCAGGAAGGCAAAAGGATGGAGATTTTAGCTGGGAAAGTGTGAGAACAAACGTAGGGTAATCAAACTAAAACAGCCCATGCCACATGAGTTCAGCCTCAGAGATGATAAAGTTTGGTCACACAGGACAAACAGTAGAAGAAATAAAAATGTAAAAGCACTTCTTGAACCTGGTCCCTGGAAAGCTTAATGACATACACTGTAATGCATGCAGTTTGAAAAATACATGTTGTTGTCTGCTCCCACCAAACATATGTAAAAAAATTTTTTTAGAAAACGGAATATCTCAAAAAACGCCCGGACGAAACGTATAACAATTTGGCACAAATGTCCACTTGGTCAAGGAGGAACTGATTAGAATTAGACGGTCAAAAATTAAGCTCACAGTGACTTCACAAAACACAATTTTGGCCAAACCACAAGCATTCATTTGATAATCACTTCAATTTCCCACAAATGATGAAGTGATGACCTTTTGGAAAGATCTTGACTGGTTGACGAAGGCAAATAACCACAAGGCAGTAATCTAGTTTGGCAATTGGTTAATCTTTTAAGAAATTGTCAGGGCAAAAATGACAGAAAAAACATTACTTAATGTCATACTCTCAGTTGTGATGATTTGACTAATCGGAAACTAAAAAAACATTTGGTTTTGGACTAAAAGAAGAAATAACCATAATCTTAGTTTTTTTTCAACATTTTAAAACAGTTCATAGGTTCATTTTTCTGTGTATTATACCTTTAACACAGGCCTTCTTGACCTGAAATCCTGGAACAAGAAGCTCATTCGGTCTTTCCTTGAAACAGCCCTTACATCAGTAACATCATGAAGGCCAGATGGTCACGAAGGAGAAGACACAGGTTAAGAGCTTTCTAAAAATCAATTAGGACACGCTTGCTGACCAAAGCAAAAGCAAGTCCCTCAGGAGGAGGTTACTCATGCATAGTGTATATCTGCCCAGGTGCAGGATGACATCCCTTTAACATTTTAGCACACATCTGAGTTTGAATATCAAATCTACTCAGACGTTTTACCTGCCTGCTCGCTAATATCCCACAAATCTCAACAAATCATCGCTGCACTCAAAACATCTGTGGGCGCTCCTGTGTTTGATTGTCCGTGCTAAGTGATGTTTGGGCCTGAGAGTGAAGCTGGCAGTGCATTAGCCACTTTTAGACCAGCACTTGGATCGATACCGCAGAAATGCACAGCAGCACTATGGTGCAACAGGCAGGACAGGTATCAGGTAGCATGTATTATAAAGGCCTTGTGTGTAATATGTTTCTTCCTGCACGATGTTCTACATGCATGTGCTAAAGATCTACATGGGAACAACATAGCAAGTATGTAAACAGGAGTGCAGTGATATTCCTTAATTATAGTGTTTAGTTCTTTGAATGGGTGTGTCTGCCCGCAAATATAATGTTATCAGATATCATGGCGGATATTTTCGGCTCACTTGGCCTGCAGATACTTTCCAGTGATGCAGCCATTTCATCTAATCTAACAAAAGGAGCAATTATTCAAATGTGGAGAATTAATTACAGTTATTTTATGCCATTACACATAAAGCCGCACATCCGTTAAAGCGATGAAATGATTGAGATTCACCTCCAGCTCTGTATTTGCACTTTTATAAATGGTATTTTTCTGAATCTGCAGTCAAGCCGGGCAAATCCTGAAGGATGAGATAATCTCTTTAAATGTTTAACTGTGCTTTCTTCTTCTTGGCTAGGAGCACACACAATGACACAGCATTACGTTTTGGCACAAGTTCAAAAAACATTTCTGAAACCTAAATCAATTTGTTGCTGGAGGGGAAATGAAAAATATTAAACATAACAGGTGGATTTTTCTTTACCTAGACAGATTTGCTACAATAGAGACAGTTGTTCATTTTCTAATCATATGGTTATTAAATACCATTTTTGGAGCATGCATCAAAAGCATGTAATGTGAGAATGCTATTAGAAACAGAAAGACACGAGTCAGAACAATGTGGACATCAACACCAGAGACGGGAATAGCAGATTGTGCTGTTCTGTGGTTTGGTGTTTATTTTTCTCGGGTAACATTTCTCCGTGACCTTCAAAGAATTTCACAAAACTCCAATTTATTACGTATATGATTAAATGATGACTAAAAATCCAATTTCTTTGCAATTAAGACATAAAAGGTAAGCCAAATTACTGAATTGATTTTCTGTCTTGCAGACGCTAATCAATATCAATCCTGTTTAAGTACACATTTATTGTAATAAGAGTCGAACTTAGCTCTTAAATAAGTTGCACACAGTGTTCTTCCAAGAGTGCTTTAAAAGCCCAATACAGGAGATGCCAAAAACCTTTTTTGTATTTACTCTATATCCATCTCATGATTAAGTCAACTCTTTATTGTCCCATAATGATGAATGTCATTGCAGCCGTGTATCAAAGACACTATCATTGTTGCTATAAATAGCGTGAGCCTCAGTGGATACAGCTCCTCTGTGCTCTGTTGGTATGTATAGAAATATTTGCGTGACATTCAGCTTAGTCACGTCGATCAGTTGCATCCTTTTATTCAGCGAGGGTTTTCAAATCCACATCCAATAGACTTAACCCCTTTGAGTGCACACTGCCATAGGGTTTAAAGGGCAACCATTCCCACCCTGTTCTCCCAGTGTAGATGTGAACACCCTCACACACCATTAAAGCCATAGTTTGGATGTTTTGAGGTGGGGTTATATGAGGTTCTTATCCACAGTCGTTTATCGCCCACAGCTGATGGCAGAGTGGAGACAAACCAGAACGGATGCAAAGAAATGTACTGCATGGACAGGGCGGAAACAAAAAAGTAATTATGCCACCTAAAATATCTGATATCAATTTATTTGTTCTCTATATTTAGAATATTTCCACCACTTCACCATAATGTCATACAGCCCTATTTTATCAGCAAATTGAAGCTTGCATATATGCTCTCTTCAAAGCTACCAGAGTAGATTTTCAAACACAGTAATTTTACCAACGTTTCTGGTCTATCGTTGCTTAAATTGGTTAGTTTGTTTGTGAATCTGATTCAAGTCATACATTAACAGAAACAAACAAGAAGATTAAGGCAGTGGTAGGTAGACCTGTAAACTCCTGTGTTTCTGAAAGGTTTTGTCAAAGGAGTCTCGTGGCATTGAATAAAGCAAAGATCACAGCGTGAGTCCCTTGTTGGAAAAGGCTTAGTTTGCATTTTTCTGATAAACTATCAAACTACAGGACTGTATCCTGTGAGCCCAGTTTTCTATTTGAGATTTAAAGGAAGTCTGGTAAGCATCTTATCTAGCATTAATTCAGACCACTAAGAAACATTGATTATTTAGCAGCTGTCTTCTGCCTCTGCAAAACTCTCCAACCTCATGCACAAACATCAGTATTAGATATATCAAACATGATCCAATGTGCGCTTACACAACCAAAAACACATTCCTTTTGTGATTGTATCAGTTAAGAAGCCTTCTTTGCCTGTTTTTGATGCAGCACTGATGGATTTTCTGCTGTAAAGCTGCTGTGAAAATGCCAAGCTAAGGTCTGCAACCTTGTGAGAAGTCTGAGTGCACTTCATTTCCCAGAGAAATGCAACCTGATGAGTGTTTAGTTCCACTCAACACAGTGTGAAGAAATAAACCTGACGGTCCCAGAGACGAGCCAGCATCACATGGCAATGAAGACTCATGATGCACACACACAGACACGCACACACACACACACACACACACACACACACACACACACACACACACACACACACACACACACACACACACACACACATACTTCATACTGTATGTTCTCACGCACATCTTGACCCTCTTTTTGGAATTTGCATGGATGAGAATGTAAGGATCCATATGATCTGCCATAGTTCCATTGTCTTTCAGTATCTTGGGCATTTAAGGACTTGATGTTGAGAAGCAGAGGGCTCAGATTTACCTGTTCACAAATGTTGACTTTAGGACAATCTATATATTGTGCATATATCAATCAATCAATCAATCAATGTTTATTTATATAGCCCAATATCACAAAGTTACATTTGTCTCAGTGGTCTTCACAGTGTGTACAGAATATCAGTATGACAATACGACACCCTCTGTCCTTAGACCCTCACATCGTACAAGGAAAAACCTCCAGAGAAAACCCACAGTTTAAAGGGAAAAATGGGAGAAACCTCAGGGAGAGCAACAGAGGAGGGATCCCTCTCCCAGGACGGACAGACGTGCAATAGATGCCGTATGTAAATCGAAAAGACAATACATTTACAACATAGGTAGTCCAAATGTTTGGAAATGCATGTGTCTATAATAAGAAGATGAATCCACGAGGATGTCAGCAATCTTGTGGGAGCCATCAGTGAAGTAGTATGGTGAGAGTCTGGCAGGACCGCAGATATACCATAGACTATATACAAATCCAGAAAGAATCCCTATAATAATAACACTAGAAAAACTGCAAATACAGAAGCT